TTTTTTTTTTTTTTTTTTTTTGACAGAGACTCACTCTGTCGCCCGGGCTGGAGTGCAATGGCGTGGATCTCCGGCTCACTGCCAAACCTCCACCTCCTGGGTTCAAGCAATTCTCCTGCCTCTCCAGCTCCTGAGTACCTGGACTATAGCGCGCGCAGCCACCACGCTTGGCTAATGTTTTGTATTTTTTGAGTAGAGATGGGCAATTTCACGCATGTGGCGAGGCTGGGTCCTTGAACTCCTGACCTTCAGGTGACCCACCTGCCTTCAGCCTCCAAAGTTCTGGGATCACAGGCGTGAGAGCACCACAGTTCCCCAGCGCTAAATCTAGCTTGTTGCTTCCATCCAATCTTTTGAAATGATGCTCAAAAATGTTGAGTTGATAAGTGACTAACAGCATTCTGTATTTTCTTTTCTTTTTTCACGGACAGGGTCCCGTCTGGCCTTATGTTGTACAGGCGTGCCTCCAACTTCTGAGCTCAAAGCCATCCTCACTGCCTCAGCCTTCTGAGTAGCTGAGACTACAGGTAACAGAGGTTCTTTCTGATATTAGGGTTAATATTGGGCCTGGATGTTTCTAGTGAAATGCTTATCATTTTTTCACAACATATATCAATTGAGCATCTACTAGGCACTTGATAAAAACAAGTGAGGAAAATAAGAAGACTTCCTACCCCCACGTGGAACTTACATTGCAGCAGAAAAATTGCAGACGCTAAACAATAAACATCCATAAAAACAAGCTTATATAATAGGCAACAGATAATTTGGATAATTTCCGTAGCACAAAGCTGCCTTAGCCAGTGGAACCCCAAACCCAGTCTACTAGGGACTTTGTTTGAATGCTTTGAATATATTTCATTGCTTTCGTTTAACCAGCTAACCAGATTGCCCAGCTGTGGGGAGAGGATGGGGCTGGCCAAGAAGCTTGGATTCTTGCCTTAATTACGAGTTTAGTTTGTAAGTAAATAACCAAATCAAGCTGGGTTAAGCAAAAAGGGGGAATTTATGCTAAGAATCCAAGACTGAAAGCTGGACTCAGGACAGAGACTAGGATACCAGGGGTGCACACTTGTAGAAGGCACAACAGGTTTGTACAAGGGCAGGCCGACACCCAAGGGGAAGACATCAGTTCAGTGTTTAGGGGCTCCACCAGCCTGGTGGGCCCTCCACAGGGGCTGAAACAGCCTTGGACACCTCCAGGGGTCTGGGTGTCCTTCTTCTCCCCAGGCCAGGAATCCTTCCACCACATCACACCAGGGACATTCAAGCAGCTGATATTCCACATTAAGTACATTTCACTATTTATTATTATTATTTTTGAGACAGTGTCTCACTCTATCACCCAGGCTGGAGTGTAGTGGCACGATCTCCGCCCACTGCAACCTACGCCTCCCAGGTTCAAGCAGTTCTCCTGTCTCGGCCTCCCAAGTAGCTGAGATGACATGTGCCACCATGCCTGGCTAATTTTTTGTGTTTTTAGTAGAGACGGGGTTTCACCATATTGGTCAGGCTGGTCTCGAACTCCTGACCTCAAGTGATCCACCCACATTGGCCTCCCAAAGTGCTGAGATTACAGGCGTGAGCCACCAAACGCAGCCATTTCACTATTTTTAAAGTTAGAGCTGTTATTATTTGGTTTTATAAATGAATATTAATTTGACTTTGCCATTTTTCTCTTCATATTTGGGGGTCAAAAAATTTTATTTCCAGGATTCAAACATGGTTTCTTTTTTTTTTTTAATAGGATCTCACTCTGTCACCTAGGCTGAAATGCAGTGGCATGAGCATGCTCACTGCAGCCTCAATTTCCTGGGTTCAAGCAGTCCTCCCTCCTCAGCCACCCAAGAAGCTGGGACCATAGGTACATGCCACCATGCCTGGCTTATTTTAAAAGTTTTGTAGAGATGGGGGGGGGTCTCACTACATTGCCCAGGCTGGTCTTGAACTCCTGGGCTCAAGCCTTCCTCCTGCCTCAGCTTCGCAGAGCGCTGGGATTACAGACATGAGCCACTGCGCCCAGCCTCAACCATTTTTGAGAGCCCTGGAACTCATACAGGCTCTGGGCCCAGTGTGGCTGGCTGCTCTGAACCTGCCTCTCTCCCAGAGCCTGGAGCTCAGCACACCTGAAACCTTCAGCCAACTCATTCTGATTGCTTCCTGCACTGAAGGGCCTCAGCTGAAATCCATCTCACTGTGGTCTCCGATGGTCAGATTTGATAAAGGGGCCAGGTAGGAACCTGAGCCACCTGGGGGATGGTTGTGACTCTCAAAGCAGACACACGTTCTCCATTAGCGGCCCTCCAAGGAGCCCAATTTCAGCAGAATCATTAAAAGTTGATGATTCTGCAAACGTCTTTTTGTCTGCTGTGGGGTGGCGGAAGCAGGGAAGTGTAGTTTTCCTCTGAAATGATGAAACCCTAGGCAAAGAAAGGCAGTAAGACAATTCCATACTTAACCTTAGAGTGACCATGAAATTCAACACTGAAGACTTTTAAGAGAGATTCAGGAGGAGAGGAGAGCTCGGGTCACCACTGAGATACTTAAAGGTCAAGAGCTGGGGGAAAAAAACATCAAGAACTGCATTCAAATTAAATCAGAAGGCCGGGTGCGGCGGCTCATGCCTGTAATCCCAGCACTTTGGGAGGACGAGGCGGGCAGATCAGGAGGTCGAGAGATCGAGACCGTCCTGGCCAACATGGTGAAACCCCATCTCTACTAAAAAAACACAAAAATTAGCTGGGTGTGATGGCGAGTGCCTGTAATCCCAGCTACTTGGGAGACTGAGGCAGGAGGATTGCTTGAACCAGGGAGTTGGAGGTTGCAGTGAGCCGAGGTCGTGCCACTGCACTCCAGCCTGGCGACAGAGCAAGACTCCATCTCAATAAATAAATAAATAAAATCAGAGTGCAGAAGACCAGGGCTTAGCAGCATTATTATTATTTTTTTTCCTCAAGAATTGAGGACCTCAAGAATTGTTTAGGCTTTGGGAGTTGCTTTGAGACATTGAACATCATCATCATGTGTGAGGGCATCCTCCTCATCCAGCCCTGGCTGGGCTGGGGTACAGCGTCTCCTCTCAGGAGGCCCTCAGCCCCACTTGGGGAGAACTACAAGCTGCAGAACTGCAAAGGGCCCTAGATACACAGATAAGTGAGCAACACGACTGAGGGGCTGCAAGCCTCTTGTAGTCGGAATTGATGCTTAAGCTGAGGTGGAGCTCCTGTTTCCTGATCCCCACCTGAGCTTTGCACTGACCACCCAAAACATGCATGTAAGTTGATTCATTTGGGAAAACTAGAGGCTGGGCACGGTGTCTCATGCCTGTAACCCCAGCACTTTGGAAGGCTGAGCTGGGAGGATCTCTCGAGACCAGCTTGGTGAGGGCAACATGGTGAGACCCGTCTCTACAAAAAAGTTTAAGAAATTAGCCGGGTGCAGTGGCAGGCACCTACGGTCTCAGCTATTCAGGAGGCTGAGGAAGAATTGCTTGAGCCCAGGAGGTGGAGGCTGCAGTGAGCCACAGCACTCCAACCTGGGTGACAGAGCAAGACCTTGTCTCAAAGAAAAAGAAATCAAAAGAAAAACCATAAGTCCTTTCTTTCTTTCCTTCTTTTCTTTCTTTCCTTCTTTTCTTTCTTTCCTTCTTTTCTTTCTTTCCTTCTTCTTTTTCTTTCCTTCTTCTCTTTCTTTCCTTTCTTTCTTTTTTTGATGAGGTCGTGCTTTGTCTCCCAGGCTGGAGTGCAGTGATGCAATCACAGTATTGCACCCTTGAATACCTGGGTTCAAGCCATCCTCCTGCTTTGGTCTCCCTGAGTAGCTGGGACCACAGGTATGCGCCACCATGCCCAGCTAACTTTTTTTTTTTCAGAGATGGGGTCTCACTATGTTGTCCAGGCTGGTCTTGAACTCCTAATCTCAAACACTCCTCCTTCCTTGGCCTCCCCAAAGTGCTGGAACTACAGGACGAGCCCAACCTAGAAGTGATTTCTAAATTCTGAATAATATTTCTACAATTAATTAATTTGCTAATACAAATACTAGTTTAGAAACATAGTACTTAAAGTTGACTGTTTTTCTTTTCCATAAAAGTACAGTTTATGCTCAGTGGGTTTTGCCTGTTGACCTATTTCTCTCTGGTTATTTGTCACAGACCTACAGTTGTTTAACGTCACCACCGGATCTGGGAAAAATGGCTTATGGGCAGTTTCACGTCATAAAATCTTCCTGCTATTATTAAACAGAAAAAAACGCCCGTGAGCTCAAAGAAGGAGAGTGCTGTTCATGAGGTTGGAGGCATTTTGCAATGGGTAGGTCACAGCCATATGAAATGTTTGCTTCCTCTGTTTCTCTTCAGCTCTTTCCCTGGGCAGTTCTGTGTGTGCCTCTCCTCCTAGGTGAGCCATGCTAATTGTCCTCCCCTGAGAGAAGAAGCTCTAGGGGTCAGGAATGTCTCAGCTTGACATGGGAGGTGTCAGAATAAGGCTGTTCTTGTCCTTCCCTGTGCCCTGAGCATGTGGCAGCATGCCCTCGTCTCTTTTATGGAGTAAAAGAGCTGCGTGTGTGGTGACAAGGACACCTTGGGAACAGGAGGCTTTGATTCCACTCTCTGTTCGCCACAGACCACCAGGTCACCTTGGCAACCCCCTTAGCTTGCATTACTGTTAACTCCGCAGAAGTTGGAAGTGAAGCCCAAGAGGTTCCTATTTCACACGCCAGCCGGCTCAGTGGGGGCGGGGGTGGGGGCGGGGGCGGGGGCGGGAGTGGGAGGGAAAACCTGGGGTTTGATAGCTTCCCACGGTGGGAACCACCACCCCTGACAGGAATCTACCACACTGGAAAACACCTGTGTTCCAGCCCGTCCGTGAAGTCTGATTGTCCTTTCCTCCCTCCTTTTTTTTTTTTTTTTTTTTTAAGACAAGAGTGTTGCTCTGTCGCCCAGGCTGGACTGCAGTGGTGCAGTCTCAGCTCACTGCAACCTCTGCTTCCCAGGTTCAAGCAATTCTCCTGCCTCAGCCTCCTGAGTAGCTGGGACTACAGGCGTGTACCACCACACCCGGTTAATTTTTGTATTTTTAATAGAGATGGAGTTTTGCCATGTTGGTCTCGAACTCCTGACCTCAAGTGATCCACCCACTTCGGCCTCCCAAAGTGCCGGGATTACAAGCTGAACCACCGTGCTCAGCCCCCTCCTCCTATTTCTCTGAGTATAGAAACTGAGGGGACTGAGACTAGAGGGAAAAGGGATAACGGAACTTCAATGACTTAAAAGCTGTAACTCCTGTCTCCCTAAAACGCATAAAACTAAACTGTAACCCGATTGCCTCAGAACCACTTATTCAAGGCTTCTTGGATTCATTGTTCCTCCAGACTGCGGTCATTCATATTGGCTCAGAATAAACCTCTTTAAAATATCTTACAGGATTTGGTTTTTCTCTTAACACAGAAGATAGCATCAGATCCCACAGGTTGAGGGCTCAGTCCCCAAAACTGCCCCCTCACCTTCAGACACCAGTTGCAAGTCCGAGCATCTGGAACTTCTGACCAACTGGCTTCAAGTTGGGGTTCCTACAACCCTGTCTTTGAGTTCAATTAATTTAATAGAGTGGCTCACAGAACTCAGGGAAACACTTATGTTTACTGGTTTATTATGAAGGATATTACAAAGGATATAGATGAAGAGATGCATAGTACAAGGTATAAGGGAAGGGGCAAGGGGCTTCCATGCCCTCCCCAGGGCACCACCCTCCAGGAACCTTCATGTGTTCAACTTTCTGGAAACCCTCTGAACCCTCCTGTCCTCCTGGGTTTTTATGGAGGCTTCATTACATAGGCACGATTGATTAAACCATTAGCCATTGATGATCAGCTTAACCTTCGGCCCCTCTCGCCTTCCTGGAGGTTAGGGGTAGGGCTGAAAGTCCCAACCCTCTAATCCTGCCTTGGTCTTTCCAATGACCAGCCCCATCCCTAATATTGAGCTGTCAGTCATCATTAACACACAAAAAGATAGCACTCAGGAGATTTCAAGGATTTTAGGAGTTGTATGCCAGAAAATGGGATGAAGGCCAAATATATATTTCACAATATCACAGAGAGTAAACAGTTAAAGTGATTCATGTGATGTCAGTGACTTGGGTCAAAAGCTAAACTGCTGCCACCAACAAGCCTTAACATGTGATAGTTCAAGGCAGACACTTTGTTTCTCTCACTAATAGTCCAATGCAGGAGTTCTAGGTCAGCAGGACTCTGCTCCACACAGTCACTCAGGGGCCCAGGCTCCTGGTAGCCCTGCCATCTCTCCTACTTGGCATCTAGAGGGGCTCTGATTAGTACTATCCCTGCCAGAAGGAAGGAGGCAAAGGGCATGGGGAGGCTTTACACACATGAGGGGCTTTACACACCAGGCCGGGAATAGGGACCTATCTTTCATTTCTACTTCCACTGGCAAGCATTTGATCTCATGGCCACTCCAGACTACAAGGGAGGCTGGAAAATGGACTCCAGCCTTGAGTCCAGGTAGAAAGGAGGGCCAGTTTTGTTGGACTGCCAGCAGTCTCTGCCCTGATGGCTTTATCAAAATGGAAACATTTGAAAGGAAAACTAGATCTCAGAGTTCAGTTTAACTCTCACATGTCCAGGACCTCTCAGACTTCCCAAAGCTGCCAGTAGAGGGCCAGGCTTTCACTCTGAGGACTGTCCCCTCTCCCAGCTTCCACGGATTCTAGAGCAGGGAATCAGAAGCCATAGGACCACATTCGAGGTTTATTCTTTGGATCAAGTATGAGCATCTGTGGCTCTATTTTTAAAGCTAAGTACTTCTTTTTCTGGATGGGTATTGGGGTAAATTGTGCTAGATATGCAGTTAAAGAAAGTACACTCAAGAAATAGATTTCCAGCCAGGCGTGGTGGCTTGCGCCTATAATCCAAGCACTTTGGGAGACTGAGATGGGAGGATAGCTTGAAGCTACGAGTTTGTGACCAGCCTGGGCAACATAGTAAGACCTCATCTTTACAAGAAATAAAAACATTAGCCAGGCATGGTGGCACACACCTGTAGTCCCAGCTACTGAGGAAGCTGAAGCAGGATGATCCCTTGAGCCCAGAAATTTGGGGCTGCAGTGAGCTAGGATTGCACCACGGCATGCCGGCAGGAAAAAAAAAAAATTTCCATTAATAATGTTAAATTTTTTTTTACAGTTGTTGTGGAAGATAAAGCGCAGCCTGGCATATGCTCTTTCAAAGGAAGTTCTCAGGAATATCCTGTATATGGCACCAGACCTCAGACAATTCAGGTAGACAAAAACCCTCATGTGTATCAACCTACATAATGCTAGAAAAAAATCTTGAATATTCAAGGTCAGAGTATTTTTTAGAGGGTTTCTGTTTTTCCCTTATTTACAAGTTTGGCTTTTTCCTGATGTTCTATCAGTGACTAGAAATTGTATTAGTCCCTTCTCATGCTGCTATAAGGACATACCCAAGACTGGGTAACTTATAAAGGAAAAAGGTTTAATTGGCTCACAGTTCTGCATGGCTGTGGAGGCCTCAGGAAACTTACAATCGTGGTGGAAGGGGAAGCAAACACGTCCTTCTTTTGTTTGTTTTGTTTGTTCTCTCGTGAGAACAAATTCAGTATCACAAGAACAGCATGGGGAAACCACCCCCATGATTCAATTACCTCCACCATGTCCCTCCCATGACATGCGGGGATTATGGGATTACAATTCAAGATGAGATTTGGGTGGGGAGGCAGGCAAACCACATCAGAGATCAATTTTGACTGTTGGAATTTTGGTGACATAGCAGAAGAATGACACTTTTGGACAAGTCTGGGGTTACATCTAGATATTATTTCCAAATTGCACATTATTTCAGGGACTTGTGACCCCTAATATTTTGGCTTAAGATATGGTTAAGAAGTGGCTCAATTTATAGTACCATGCACCTGGCTTCTATCATAAAACTCCATTAAAACCACAGTCTTGACGATTTTCAACTAGTCAGCCTCCATATATCAGGGGATGGATTGCCCAGGCTGTGGGTTGTCTGACTTTTGAAAACTAAAAATAAAATTCTAAGTCCCCAGCCATCTGAATGGATCCTTCCTCTCGACGAAGGGCATTCCAGAGTTAACCTGAAAAACTAGTTCAGGCCATGATGGAAAGGAGGGGTCAGATATACCTCATTATACCCTCCTCCCTGATGGAGTTCAGGCACAGCTGACCAGCATTAACACGAAAACAGATCCTAAGACTAACAAAACAGACTTTTTGTAGCGATAAGAGATATCCAATTCCAGCCTAACTCTAGTATAGCATCACAAGACAGATAAGAGGCCCTGAAAGAAATTGAAGTATTTTACCCCCAAATTATGTTTCTTTGCCATATCTTGAAATAATCCTGCAAAGCTGTCTCTTGTGGGGAAAATCTACATTCTGAAGAGAATCCCCTTTCTTTTCCAGGCCTCTTTCTTGATCCAGGAGAGAATCAACTCTGATAAGAAACATCTACAATCTTTTCTCTCTGAAGCCTGCTACCTGGAAGCTTCTTTTGTGTAAGGGGAACCATTTAGGGGTCTCCACAACCCCTTATCTTAACCCAGACATTCCCTTCTATTGATTCTAGATTTTTAGATAATAACCTCTTTCTACCAATTGCCAATCAGAAAGTCTTTGAATCCCCCTGTGACCTGAAAGCCCCACCTTGCTTTGAGTTGTCCTGTCTTTCCAGACCAAATCAGTGTACATACTACGTGCATTGATTGATGTCATATGTTCTCCTAAAATGTTTGAAACCAAGCTGTAGCCCGACCACCTTGGGCATATGTCCTCAGGATCTCCTAAGGGCTGTGTGACAGGCTATTGATCACTCATATTTGGCTCAGAATAAATCCGCAAATATTTTACAGACTTTGACTCTTTTTGTCGACACTTTATTTCTCTACTTTTTCCCTGTGAGGCCATTTTGTGGTGTTTTTTTTTTGGTGTGCTTCACACCCATGGAGACCAGGAAAGGCAAGATTACGGAAAATCAGTTCCAACTAGAGGTGTTGCTCATCAGTGGTGAAACATGAGGACAAGGAGGCTGGATCTAATGCTTAAATCACATCCTTGCACTATCCTCTGCACCTGCAGTGTGCTCTAACTTGCGAGTTGCAGCTGTGGTCAGAGCAGCTGTTTTAGGTAAAGGAGTGAGTTTGCTCTGCCTGGTCAGATACTCTCCTGCCCTTTTATCTGTTGAAAAACGCTCTGGAGACCTCATGGGAGAGGTAAAAACACTCAGGTGTAAAAGATTTCTAAGGTTTACTAAATATAAGCCTTCTCAGAGCCAACTGCTTGTAATCCCTGATGCCTCAAGCAGAAGGAATCAACCTCTGTTCTGGAAGCTGGTGTCTGTAAGTACCAAACTCCTTCAGTTCAGGGAATAATTCATGAGTAGGTTGTTCCTTAAATGCATGAAAATGGGTCTTACAGTTGGCAGCTTTTTCGCCTGTGCCTGAGGTGGGCCTCAGCCACAATTAATCCAGCATAAATGCAAATTGCAGAAAGCTCTTGACTTCTGTAGGCATGTTTCTCTGTTTAGGCAATTTTTTCGAGGAAGAAGCTTGGGATATAACATCTTACATGGTGCAGTTTGCATGCACAAGGCTAGATAAAAAATGCCTCAACTGTTAAGCAAACAAACAGTTGGTCTTCTTTATTCTCTTTCCCTTTTCCTTTGTTCACCTTAGGCCGCTTAGAGCTTGTCTATACATGTCTTAAGTGAGGGTATTAAGGCAAAGGTATGGGTAGAAAGAAAAGGAAAACGTGAGCAAAGTGATGAAAAACCAATAGAAAAATTTTGTGGGGAAGTTTTAATGGTTGCCACTACAAGAAAATCACCTGTAAATCTCTAACTTTTAAAACTGTAACTCTTTCCCATAAACAGTTAACTAAATGTTAACTCCATTTTGGCTGGGTGTGGTAGCTTGTACCTGTAATCCCAGCACTTTAGGAGGCCAAGGTGGGAGGATCCTTTGAGACCAGCCTGGGCAACATATGAGACCTCGTCTCTACAAAAACTTTTACAAAAACAAAGTTAACTTCATTTAACAATGTTTAGGCAAATTCCACTTAGGATAGCATCAAAAATAATAAAATACTTTGGAATAAGCTTAACAAAAGAAGTATAAGATTTGTATGCTAAAAATGACAAAATGTTGAAAGAAATTAAAGTAGGCATAAATAAGTGAAAGGCATACATATGATCATAGATTATAAGAGTTAATATTATTAAAATGGCAATACTATTCAAAGTGATCTACAGATTCAGTGCAATTCCTTTCAAAATCCTACCTGCTTTTTTTTTTTTTTTTTAATGGAAATTGACAAGCTGATCTCAAATTCCTATGGAAATGCAAGAAACTCAGAGTAGTGAAAACAATCTTGAAAAAGAACAAAGTTGGAGGACACACACTTTTTTTTTGAGATGGAGTCTCGCTCTGTCGCCCAGGCTGGAGTGCAGTAGCACTATCTCTGCTCACTGCAAACTCTGCCTCCCAGGTTCACGCCATTCTCCTGCCTCGGCCTCCTGAGTAGTTAGGACTACAGGCACCTGCCGCCACACCTGGCCAATGTTTTGTATTTTTATTACGGACAGGGTTTCACCGTGTTAGCCAGGATGGTCTCAATCTCCTGACCTTGTGATCCACCTGCCTCAGCCTCCCAAAGTGCTGGGATTACAGGCATGAGCCACTGCACCTGGCCAGGACTCACACTTTCTAATTACAAAACAAACATAGCTACAATAATCAAGACTATGTAATACCGACATAGGCATAGACATGTAGATCAATGGAATAGACTTGAAAGTCCAGAAATGTTTACATTATAGTCAATTGATTTTCAGCAAATGTCCCAAGACATTTAATGGGGAAATAATCTTTTTAACAGGTCCCATTGGTTGTGGGACAATTGGATATTTACATGTAAACGAATGAAGTTGAACCCCCTACCTCAACCACATGAAAAATTAACTCAAAATGGGGGGGGAAAAAGCCCATAAATTTAAAAGTTAAAACTATAAATTATTAGACGCATACATAAGTGTACATCTTCATGACTTTAGGTTTCTTACATGTGGCATCAAAAGTACAAACAACAAAAAAAGAAAAAATAGGTAAACTGAACATTACAAAAATTAAAAACATTTGCTCTTCAAAGGACACCATCAAGAAAGTGAAAAGACAATCCACATGGGAAGCAATTTTTTGAAATCATATATCTGATAAGGAATTTTGTTATTAATGTAACTCCACAAATTCATAAATTGAAGCCCTTGCCCCTAATGTGATGATATTTGGAGTTAGGGCCTTTAACAAGGCAATTGAGGTTAAATGACATAAATGTTGGGTCCTAATTTAATAGGACTGGTGTGCTTATGAGACGAGGAAGAGGCCGGGCACAGTGGCTCATGCCTATAATCCCAGCACTTGCGGAGGCAAGGCGGGGAGTAGGGGGTGGATCACTTAAGGTCAGGACTTCAAGACCAGCCTGATCAACATGGTAAAACCCCATCTCTACTAAAAATGCAAAATAACCGGGCATGGTGGTGTGTTCCTGTAATCCCAGCTATTCGGGAGGCTGAGGCAGGAGAATTGCTTGAACCCGGGAGGCAGAGGTTGCAGTGAGCTGAGATCGCGCCATTGCACTCTAGCCTGGGCAACAAGAGTTAAACTCTGTCTCAAAAAAAAAAAAAAAAGAGGAAGAGACACCAGGGGTGCTCAAGCACAGAGAAAAAGGAGGTAATTGTCTACAAACCAAAGAGAAAAGCCTCACCAGAAACAAACCCTGCTAGCACCTTGATCTTGGACTTCCAGACTCTAGAGCTATGCTGTGAGAAAATAAATGTCTTATGTTTGAGCTGTGGTATTTTGTTCTGGCAGCCTGAGCAAATGAGTACAGACTTGTATCTAGAATATATAAAGAACTATTACAGCTCAATAATAAAATGAAAACCCAATTTAAAAATGGGTAAAGGATCTGAATAGAGGGTGCTCCAAAGAAGATCTACCAATGACTAATAAACACTTGAAAAGATGCTCAACAACATTAGCTATTAAGAAAACCATAATGGGGTACCACTTCACGTTGACTATAATGGCTATAATCAAAAAGACAATAATGACCAGGCACAGTGGCTCAGGCCTGTAATCTCAGCATTTTGAGGGGCTGAAGCAGGAGGATTGCTTGAGCCCAGGAGTTTGAGACCAGCCTAGACAACATATGGAGACCTTGTCTCTACAAAAAAGTTATTTATTTACTTATTTATTTGTAGACAAAGTCTATCTCTTTTGCCCAGGCTGGAGTGCAGTGGCACCATCTCAGCTCATTGCAACCTCCGCCCCCTGGGCTCAAGCGAATCTCCTGCCTCCGCCTCCTAAGTAGCTGGGACTACAGGTGTGTACCACCACACCTGGCTAATTTTTGTACTTTTAGCAGAGATGAGGTTTCACCATGTTAGCCAGGCTGGTCTCGAACACCTGATCTCAAGTGACCCCGCATGCCTTGGTCTCCCAAAGTGCTGGGATTACAGGCGTGAGCCACCACATTTGGCCTCTACAGAAAATTTAAAAATTAGATGGGTGTGATGATGTGTGTCTATGGTCCTAGCTACTTGAGAGGCTGAGGCAGGAGGATCATTCAAGCTCAGGAGGTCGAGGTTACAGTGAGCCATGATCACACCACTGCACTCCAGCCTGGGTGACCAAAAGTAAAAAAATAAGGCAATAACTACTTTTAGTAACGATATGGAGAAATTGGAAGCTTCATACATTGCTGGTAGAGATGTAAAATAATGCAACCACTATGGAGAACAGGGTTGTAGGTAGTTCTTCAAAAAGTTAAACAGTTTCTATTTGACCTAACAATTCCACCCCAGGTATATACCTTAGAGTAGTGAAAACATATGTTCCCGAAATTCTTGTACATGAATGTTCATAGCAGTATGATGCATAATAGCCACAAAATGGGAACAATCTGATAGAGTTCGAATACATGTCCCTGCCAACTCTCATGTTGCATTGTAATACCCCATGTTGAAGATAGAACCTGGTAGGAGGTGATTGAATCATGGGAGTGGAATTCTCATGAATGGTTTAGCACCATCCTCTTGGTGCTGTCCTCATGACAGTGAGTGAGTGCTTGAGAGATCTGGTCATTTAAAAGTTTGTGGCATCTCCCCCCACACTCTTTCTTGCTCCTGTTTTCACAATGTGACACACCTGCTCCCTCTGTGCCTTCCACCGTTAGTAAAACCTTCCTGAGGCCTCCTCTGAAGCCAAGAAGATGCCACTACCATGCTTGTACAGCTTGCAGAACTGGGAGCCAATTAAACCTCTTCTCTTTATAAATTACGTAGTCTCAGGTGTCTCTTTATAGCAATGCAAGAATGGCCTACTACACCATCCAAATGCCCATCAACTGATGAATGGACAAACAAAATATGACATGCATACAATGGAATATTATTCAGCCACAGAAAAGAATAGAGTACTACATGCTACAACATAGGTAAACCTTGAAAACTTTAAACTAGGTGAAACAAGCCAGACAGAAAAAGCAACATATTGTATGATTCCATTTATATGAAATGTCCAGAATGGACAAATCTGTAGAAAGCAGAATGGAGGTTGCCAGGGGCTGAGGTCAATGGGGAATAGGAGTGACTATTAATGGATAGAGTTTCTTTTAAAATAGTTGATGAAAATAGTCTGGAATTAGATGGGGTGATGGTTGTACAACTTTGTGAATATACTAAAAACCACTGGGTTGTATAGTTTAAAAGGGTGAATTTTATGATTTTGAGTTGTTTTTCAATAAAGCTCTTATTTTTTTAAATCCTCAAAAAAA